AGCATTATCATTAATTGTTCAGAATAATGTTTTGACTTCTACAGTAACCCTTCTCTCGCATACATGATTCACACTCATGTGTTTCTTTTTTGAAATGAAGTCATTTTTAGTATTTGTGTACTTTGCTTACTATGATTATGCTATTATCTATGTTTTGTTTTGTAAATGCTGAGATAAACTTTTAATTCTGCTTTATCACTTTGCTGCTGGTAAGATGTTAAAAAAAAGTTGGGGAAATTTTAAAATGGATAGGTAGAGACAAGAATACTTCAATTAAAGAATTTAATTATGGTAAAGAATAGTTGCAGACAGAAAGAAAAACATCTAAAGGGGTGATAGGCTTATGACTTGATGTTAACTAGATAATCACCATTTCAATGCACACATTTCCTGCAGTTATCGAAGGGTAAATTACATATCTCAATATATCATGTGCATAAGAATCTGGATGATTTCCTTGTAAAGCCATGAAAAATTGAAATGCTTAAGTTCTTAACATATTACGTCAACATTCTATGGACATAGTATGTTATTGCATAAAAATGATAGGTAAGTGGATTGAGACACCATCTTCAAGACATAAACCTAGCCATTGCATTTGTGGTTTGTAGGTATATCATGACTACCTATAAACCACAAATTCCTTTTCATTCCAGTGATTAAATCTGTTTTTGGTTTCTTCTCTATATCCCCATGTCTAAATTTCCCATCTTTTTGAGATGCCTTATACAATGACTTGTTTTACATTAGTGAACTAAATAGTTTATTTAAAGTGCGAATTTGTGAAATGTGACATAAATAATGTTAATTAGCATAGTACTTGAATCTCTGTAGGTACACTATTTTTACGATAATTGAGTTTCTTCTCATAGTTATTTTTCATTTAGTGTGTAGACCAAAAGTTATCTTCATGTTTCTGAAAGATTTTTCATAATACAGTAGAACCTTGATCTGTTATTCACACAATGATCCTTTTCCTATGCATATCGCTTGCTGTTTTTGTTTTCCCTCTCATCCAAATATTTTTACACTTGAATTCCATAGGCAAGCTGCAGCATATAAGCCAGTGATCACTAAAGTGAATATTTGTTGTCATCTACAGTTATGCAAAACATGTCACTTATAAACGCTGAAGAGCATTACGTGAAGTAACATTAAATATTGTAGCATTTCAGTTGATGAATATAGACCTAGCAAGTGCCGGATGATCATTACATATCGAAATGCATTGTTCCCAGTATGAAATTTGGCAGAGGAAGAATTATTGTGTAGTCCAGTTTTTCGCAATACCAGGTGTACAAGTATAAAATGCAGATTTTTTCCCTAAAAAATGCTAAATTCGGAAGAGTGATAAAAAGTGCTTCATTCAAAGTATGCTCCATCGCTTGTTATACATTTTCCCCCATCTTTTTGTCAATTTGTGAATACCACGACAGTAAAAATTTTTTTTCTTTTGCTGCGAAGCATTCATTGAGCCATTTTTTTCATATCTTCATACGAACGAAAGTGCTGCTCAGCAAATGCGTCACCCATCGATGCAAACAAGTGATAATCACAAGGAGCCATGTCTGGTTGAGTCTACATGGGGTAGAACTTCCCAGCAGATTGCTTCCAATGTGTTGCGAACCGGTTTTGCCGTATGTGATGGAGCATTGTCATGAAGAAAAATGACTTGTTGTCTGTCAGTATCAGCAGCATTTTTTCAAGCAGCGGATGGGTCAAGTTGATCAATTGTTGTTGGTAACATTTAATATTAATCTTTTCACCAGGTTTTAACTCCTCATTGTAGACCACGCCTGTCTGGTCCCGCCAAACACAGCGCATCGTCTTTCTGCCAAAACGATTCATTCAATGTGAATAGTGTGCCTAGATCTACCCATGATTTTTTGCTCTTGGGATTCTCGAAATAAATCCATTTTTCATCACCTGTAACGATGCAAAAACAACCTTCTTTTGTACCGAGTGAGCAAAGCATCACATGTGTTTTTGAGCTTTTCCATTTGCCTGTTGTTCAACTGATGTGGTACCCTTCTACCAGTCTTCTGAATCTTTTCCATCTCTCATAGCTGATTGGAAACAGCTTGTTGACTAACGCCCAATTGCTTGGCCAGTTGTTATTGTATTTGTGAATCATTATCCACCCAACATTGCTTGCAATTCCATGTCTTCATAAATTTTTTTGCAGTGTTCTATGTTCCTTGTCGTCAACATTGAAGGTCAACACATTTGAAATTGTGAAACCATCGTTCACACGTGTCTTGCAGTAGAGCAATGTTCACCATAAGCTTCTCGAAGTAATCGGTATGACTCAGCAGCAGTTTTCTTCAGATGAAAAAATAAATAAATAAAATTAATGCTGTTTGTAAATGGTCTGTCTTTATTCATGATAAATTTCGACATATTGAACACAACATTATGCACATACTTTTCCAGTTTATCACTCATTCATGTCTGACGCTTGTTGATGACACAACAAAATGGCAAATCTCTATAGCACAAACTGCATTGCTGCGCCATGTGTTGTCTGAAATTCACATTTCGTACTTGTGCACCTGATATGATCTTGCCCATAGATTTAACACCTTGAACTCAAATGCTTGTGGGGTAATATTTGATAATTCCATTGCTACCTATCCTGTGACAGTAATTTAGAACTGGCAGTTATCATTTTCAACATACCTGTTTGCAAAATACAAACTTTAACTGAATAGTTTGAGAAAATGAGAGTGAGAAAATGTTGGTTGACTCAGAGCCCCATTTGAACATCTGGATACCCTTTGAACATCCTCTGGGATAAATTAGAGTGAGTTGAGAGGCAGCAAAATGCCTTGAAATCACCTCAGGACTGTTCATCGTCTTATAGGGAAAAAGGAAGGAAATATTGCAGACATCTGCTGAAAGTTGGAAGAAAGTCTTTTTCAAAAGATAGAGACTGTGATAGCTGCAGATGCCAGACATACATTATACCACCTATATGTCTGGCTATTTATGTTAACGTAGTGTTTGTTATCCTTGAACTGTTCAGGCAGTTTGATTTATTAGTACCTGCTTTAATCATGTCCAAGTCTGCAGTGAAAAGGATGAGATTTTTATATGTTACAATTTCATAATCAGTTATAATTTTGTAAACTGACCCATAAAATGTCCTTGAATTGATGATGTTCCCTGTTTTTATCACTTCCATAGTTTTTCCTACTACTCTTAACTTGTCAAAAAAGAATGGGAATGACTTTAGTCATCTGTCACGTTCCTGGTGATTTGACAAAATGTGAAATATCTTTGAAATCTAGAATGTGAAAGATGATTTAAAAAACAAAAAATGTGTTCTAAAGTTATGCTCATAAATTCTTAGAATTTTTGCTTCTGTCTTTGAAGGGTTTGCGTTCTGCTTAGTGTCTGTGGTATATTTATGCAATACTATTTACTGCTCTTTTAATATCATTCCTTTTGTTGATTTATTTATCCTTATATATTAGGTAGAATTTTCCATTAACATATTTCCCCCCTAATTTGTTCATCAAATCTGTGCACTCTGAATACAATTGCCTAAATATGCATTCTAAGGCCAAGGGTTTAATTTAGCAAGAAATGTTTGATAGTACTATTAGTTATAAGATTAAGTTTATTACAGCAAATAATTGTTTGCATGCCAGTCTGCAGTGTTAGCTTGGCTAAATTATTTTGTTTCTCAACGCAAATTTGATATTTAAATTAATTTTTTTAATTATATTTTTTTTAGCAATTTTAATTTTTTGTCAGCTTAAAAAAAAGTCTGGAAAGTCTGTTATCACAAAGGAAAAAATTCCTAGTCTTTAGTTACTACAATCAAAAGTCGTTAATTCGGACACCCATAATCCGGAATGATCTATAATCCGGACCTCAAAGCTAAAAACTTTCTGCGCATGCGCCGCGTTGACACATGCGCATAGGCGTTTACGCGTGCACGTAAGACCTTTTAGGTCTGCGCATATGCGTGTGCGCAAGTGCAGAATACGTTTTCGCGTGCGCGTTTTATGTATAACGGACGGAATAAGCTAAAATTATCTAATTATCTATTTCAGTTAATGGTGATGATTGTGTTGTTCCTTAATTTTCGAATTGGATCCGGCTTATTATTTTTTGCAGACTGTAAGAGCAATACTATAAAAGTAAACTTGAACTTTCGATTATATCAAATAGAATTTTCGATGCTGGAGCTCCCAAAGGATCTACAAAACGAAAGTATGTTTCGATGTCCATCAAACAAAAAGTGGAATTGCTGCAGAAAATGGACAAAGACATGAAGAAGGTGATAGAGAGGTTAGTGAAAACGAAAAAATTTCGATTGACAAGTTAGTCGGTATTCTCGGCACAGCAATTAACGGGACTTGAACAGCGGAACTTCGTAACTGAACAAGAAATTATGTCTGTTTATAGAATTAAAGAGAAAGTATTATCACATAAAACAAAGCAACTTAAACAACTTACATTGAAAGAAATGTTTAATAAAGTAAACAAATAAATATTAATCTTTTTTTGTAAATTTTGATACCCTTTAGATCATAATTGTTCTTTATTTCATAAATTACGGTTTCATATTTTTAATTTTAGAATTTCTGCATGCCATCTTACGAGATTTAAACTGATGATCTATAATCCGGAAAAATCGATAATCTGGAATCGCCGAAGTCCCGACGAGTCCGGATTAACGACTTTTGACTGTATATAAATATTTTCAGACAAAATATGCTTATACTTCCTCCAATGAATTATAGCCTCTAAACATGACTGACATAAATGACTGACATAACTGAGATTTAAAGCATAGATGATTAAATGCATGAGGAGTTAACCTGATCTTTGTTTCAAAAGCAATGCACATTAAAATTCAAATTTATCAAATTATAAATTTTTTACAGAGGTATAAGAGTTCAAAAATTTTAACTTATTGTTATTTATGAATATTAAAGGAGTCATTAATTTGCTTTAATGAAATGTATTTATTCCTTACTGTCTTGCAGTTTATCGGCAACCAATATACCTCTTCACAAAAGAATTTGTAACTTCTCAAGAACAAAGCATGCAGATGAATATAGTGTCACCCATTCCATTTGACTGGGATCGTAATTCAGATGAACAGGGCGCCTGTTCTAACTGGGAAAGGGGAGATATTCATTCAAGTTATATTCACAACTCAGTTAACAGGGATACTGATTATTTCCCATAAATGAATTTTTTCTAAAGTTGTTACATTCCTTCATGAGTACATGAGATGTAACAGATTATGTTAATCCGTGATACATCTGAATGTTATTCTAGAGGATAATTCCTTCTTAAACTGCAGGGTAAGTACAGTATAATATATGTTCATAAGAGTTAGATATCTTTCCTGTATTCAAAGGTTCAAAAATATCCGTGCCTTGAAGTTTATGGATTTATGTTGGAGAGTTTATGAAGATATGTAAATAATATATAAAAAGGTATTAACTTTTACCTGATAATAATCGGACATCATTTTCAATTTCTGTATAGTCATCACAGCGCTCTGCGATAGGAAGACGTGCCTATTAAATGATTCACTGAGAGGCAATTTTTTTTCTTGTACATATAAAATTTAACATTATTTTTGTTGTTATTTTCTAAATTAATTCTTTTTTTCTTGCCATAGTGCTTTTATGTGTTATTTATATGACATTCAAAAGTGAAAAATCTTGTTTGTGTGATTAATTTTTATGACATTTTAGTTTGTGCTAAAAAAAGCAATACGATTGTGATATTTTGATACATCAAATTTTTCCCCTTATATGAAATTTCCCTCGTATGTATTGTGTTTGACCAGCCCAAAGTATATGTTTTTAAAAAATACAGTTGATACCTTTTAATGTGCTTGTAAAACGAGTAATGTATATAAGAATATATATATATAGATATATAGATATATATAAATATATAAAAATATAAAATATACAAATTTTTCTTTTATTATGCTCAGGGAATTGGTGAAATGCTCAAACCAAGTCATTCAGCAATGCTCTTACTTTTCACATATTCTGCAACCCTCTCTAATTTTTTCTCTTCTAATTTTTAGCTATGAAAACTAAAAATAACTTTCTAGCTTTCCTTTAATTGTGGCTTTTCATTCTATTGTATTCATTTGCTATGTAAGTCTGGAAAAAAATTGCAGTCAAACTTAGCAGATCCCAGTTTTAACACCAGAAGGGTGCTGATTTTTTTTCCCTTTTACGATAGATCATTTGAACTTCGTTATAGTAACAGAAAATGACAGTGGCAGAGATTGTCAGCAGTTTCTGCAAACATGCATATTTTCTTACATTTCTCACTTTTCTGACTTTAATTTATTGGCAGTAATTTAATAAATGAGGGTAATTTTTCTTGTATTTATTACTTATATTTAAAATTTGAAGTTTAATAATCTTATTCATATGCCAATTTTGGTTGCAGTGTGAAATTTATTTGAAATGATGTATATAGACTTATATTTGTAAATTTAATAACTTAACATTCATTCATATACGTTTTCACTGAACACTGAAAATATTCCTGAAGTATAGAAGCTCATTGAGCCAGAGTAGCTGTAGCAGAGATTGTCAGATGTGTGCTATAAGTGCTTAGGATTAAACACTCTTGAAGGGAAATTTAAAGGGTAAAATATAAGTTGCATTTCGCATATTACTGCCATCCCATCTGGTGCCTTTTGCTCTCAAGCACTGATTAACTATCTTCTAATTCCAGTGCTTTGTAGATAGTAAATTACACACTTTAATTAGCTCATGTACTCTAAATTCTGAACTTGTTTTGTAATGCTTGTAAAATGTATTAATATAATCTCAGAATTATGTTTCAATACTATGATTGCTGTTGCTGTAACATGCCAAGGAATTTATGCTGGACCAGATGACTGAAATTCTGCTGATTTTGCACTAGACTTCTTCAGAAATAGGGCTTTAGGAAATTTGTGCAATTGCAATGTCTTGAGAAAAAAAGATCTATTATTTTTGCTGAACTTTGTGCCAAAATGAAAGAAATGGGAGCTATAAATTTTGTTATATTCTAGTGTAGATAAGTAGTTCTACGATAATTCATAAGAGAGTTTAAGAAAGCTTAATAAAATATGAAATTCATTGTTTGTAATTAAAATTAAGATGAATCAATATGAATGATAAAATGAGTATCTTCTCTTCTTCCCTTTTTTGAATATGCTTCCATTTCTGTGAGAAAATATATTTTAATTTCAATTAAAAAATTTTTTTTCCACAGTGTTTGTTTTTAATTTAAAGACAAAACTAAGATAAATGTTTCAGAACTGAAATTAAAAAAATTCTGTAATTTCTTTCTGATATTTATTGATGTTCTCTCAAGCCAGAAAAAAATTCAGTCTAAAATACTAGTCTTAAAATTGATCAAATATGCATATCAAAACTGCTTGGATTTTTCAATTCATACTTTTTGAAATGTACAATATTTAAAATATGCTGTTTCACATTGCTGTAAAATTTTTAAACACAGTACTTCCAGCTCTTGTACTTTTTAAAACAGGCTTGGGTGGAGTTCTTCACTCCTTAAAATTTACTGCTTTGTAAATCGAGCAAAATTTAGATTTTGCAGTTGCATCACTACAGTTTGTATTTATATGATTCTTATTTAAAAATTGTATAGAACACATTAATGGAAGGCATCATCAATGTTAATATTTTTTATTCAAGAATAGCAATAACTGAGTGAGTACTGAAAATTAATATTAGATGTTTTAAAATTTGTTTTCCTTTTATTCATCACTTCTCTTTTTAAAAACATGATTTCAAACTGAATTAACTGGGAACTGCGCCTTTTATATAACGTTTCATGGATACATCCTTCGTTTTCCTACATAAAACAACACCCTTTTGGTGTTAATATAGTTTTAATTACTGTTGTAATGATTTTATGTATTGGAAACTGTATTTCTTATGTAAATATTTTCTAATGTATTAAGTTCTAAAAATTGAACAACTTGCTTAAGCATGAATGTTTTCCTTTATAATCTGCACAAATTTAATACATTAGACCTACACTGAAATTTCATTATGTAATTTCTTTCAAAAACCTAAATAAATTTTTCTGTAAAAATTATGTATTACTGTTTTTTATGTTAAGCATTTTTTTCTTTAAAATTCATTAAAATTAAAAATTTGTCTGATTATCCGCATCTACTTAACATGAAACAATCGATGCCAGATCAAATTTCAGCACACGAGTGGTATCTACTGTATTTATAACTGATATATGTATAGTATAAATTTTTTATATGTTACATTGTTTGGAAATAAGAAAGTATATTAAATGAGAGGTATCTATTTTTAAATAGATTTACTTATTTGTATGTATGATGCAGTAGAATCATGTTAACTATCAGGCTGGATTCAACAAAATGGCATATTAATAAAAAAAAAAAAAAATCAAAGTTAACAACACAGGTTATTTCCATATGAAAACACACATATTTCTACCTTGTTTCTTTCTGTATATTTACTAAGTCATCATTATAAGTGTACAAATACTAGATACTCTGTTTAAAATGTCTCTCCCTCTGGGAAGTTAAAAAAAAAAAGAGATACAAAGCTAATAGTATGTAAGTTACTGCTAGCTAAAAGAAAGATTTCACGGTTCAGTGCCCAATTTGAAGAGTTTTTGTATAGTTAACCATCGGCAGAAAGAAAGTGAAGATATATATCCTAAGTGACAACAAATGAATTGGCATCGATCGGTTCTGCAGTCATTCCCATAGAACATAAAGCATTACATTTATGCTGCACTTTTCTAAATAAAATGCTTAAAAGAGGATTTTTATATATGTTGCATGTTAGATTTAAGTTAGTGTTCATTTACCAAATGTACATTTAAAAACATTTTTATGTACAGATTCGTTTACCAAATGTGCATTTACATACTACCCATACTAATTTTTGTTTTAAAATATGTGTTCAGAGACTGCAAAACCACTGCATAATATTTATAATATTACTGTTGGGAAGAGGAATTGCGTGTCCTAAGCCCATAAACAATTATTCTGAGATTCCAGGGATTAATTTCTTAAGTTAGAGGTGTTTGAGTCCTGTGGATGGCAGGTCAGTAACTGTGAATAAAATGAATAATTAAAATTAAATAAAATGTGAAACAATAAATAAATTCATAATAAACCGAGTTCTTTCAGAAGTAGATGATTAAAGTATTGTCATAAAAATTTGAAGCAATTATAAAACAAATGGAAGGTCAGTAAACTAATGATAGAAGACATGATACCAAGCATAGAAATAAGTATTTTGAGCATTATTCAGCCACATAAAATTACTTAGCTTGACTTCTAATGCATCTAAAGTTACCTTGATTGGTTGAATCACAATTAATGAGTATTCCTTTTCTGTGGAGATTCCATTTTGGCGTATGGTTTTCTTTACCAGTTTCTTAATATTTCTTGAATCTTGTATTATTCTATGGGAGAAAATATGACACACCCTTCCATTGCTAGTATCACTATTAGTCTCACTAACTGCTAAAAGAAATATTCATTGAGAACATAATATTTTTCCTGATATTGTGATTGTTCCACAACAGTAATTTCATTTGTGGCTGTGGATGGAATTAATATTTCTTTCAACATCACTACTGGAGCTGGATTGGAGTGGAATTTGGCTAAGAATTTAAATGCTGTTCATATAAAAATGCTATTTACTTGGTTAAAGAAAATATTAAGTCTAGGTTTTCTGCTCCTTTCTAAATTGAAATGGTCATGGGGTTTGCTATATTGCATGAAATTTATCAAGGCTATGACTGAGAATTCTGAAATTTCAGATTCAGAATTCTCTGTTGACTTGTCGAATTACATAACCATTCTCTTGCCTCAATGAACTTTCATGTCCCAGCATTGTGTTTGGTGTTTTGTCAGTTAATTTATGTGATTGAATTATTGTTATAAAAAGGAATAGCCCTGTTTCACTTAGCTCTAAAGATATTGTAGAAATAGGCAAGAAATGTAGCTTTATTCAGTGATCATTTGAAAATTTTGTTACTTGAATATGCAGAGATATCATGGAAGAAAGAAAAGACCTTAATAAAAAAATCTCCAGTTGATTAAGAATAAATTACCTTATTAAAAATTTTTGTAGAATAATATGCAAAGTATGGTAAGTTTTTTTTTAATAGTGCTTATTTTACCATGCCATATGACTGGAGTTGTTTTGCATGGTAAAATAAGCGATATTTAAAAAAAAATAAATAAATAGATTTTGATTAGGCTAGATTGTTTTAATTTGACAGAGGTTGCTTTCAGTGTTTTCACCTTCAGATTTTGCAATATTTGAAGTGCATCAGAATTAATAGTTATTAAATGGAAAGAATGAGTGAACAGTCGATGATATATAAATGTGATCTATTATAGAGCAATGTATTTGCTCTTTAAATTAGCCATATCTTGTGTCTAGTAAGCAGAATAACTTTTTTTTTTGTACATTCTGTTCTATTCACCATAAATTTTATACTTTTGATGCCATCGTTACTAGGGTTTTCAGATGATGTATGCGATTTTTGCAATTCGAGTACATAGGCTATGTAGTATTTCATGGTACTGAAGAGCAGTGATGGTAATTTGTGTAGTCTATCAGTATAAAGGAAAAGTTAGTGTGATGCACAGTAATATCTCTTAGAATTACATTTTGGTCCTTGAAATGCCTCGGAAGGTAATAATTTTAATTAAAGATGATATATACTGCAGTTGAAATAATTTTGATCACAGACGTTAGGTTTTTCAACAATTTGATGCTGAAAATTTAACCCCAAAATTCTTTGGAGCAACTTCTTGCATGTAACCTAAACAAAACTAAGATTTTAATAGAATATGGTATGAAGTATATACTGATAGAATGTGGTATAAAGTATTAGAAAATGGCTTATCTTATTTTATGGATTTTTACTTTTCTTTATTGGAATCATTGATACCATAAAGTTTGCAATTACGCGCGCATTAAACGCACATGCGTAAGTTTGTGGCTTTGAGGTCCGGATTATAGATCATTCCAGATTACAGACTTTGTACTGTATTACTATTTTGGAAATCATTTTTGTTATATTTGAATGCTTAGGAAGCTATAAATAAAATCAGTGTTTTATTTTGAAACAGGAAGTCCTAATGGATATTATGCGTCTTTCGTAAATGTTATTCATTAGCAAGATAATATTATTTTCAACAGTTTCTGTTATAGAAAGAGGTTAAAGTTATTGGAAAAAAAAGGTTAAAAAATAGAGTAATGATGAGAGTTGATTTGCATGTATGATGTCATTATGCCAAAGTACACCAGGGTTGTCTGCCTATGGGGAAGGAATCTTTCATGGACGATTGGCTAAAGGAAAATGGCTCATATTGATGTTACATTTGAGGAAAACAGCATACACCCAGCCCGTTTAATCGGGGGAACTACACGTGTTTCGCAGCGTTAACTAACTCGACAGGACCAGTTGGTCTTATAGTAGTTCTGTCATTAATAGGCACTACGATAAAATATGTTGCTTAGAGATTGGGCATACTGCCCTGGAGAACGTATCGTGATCAACACAGGATTTAATGCAAACATAAAATACATATTCATAAGGACTTTAAAAATGATCTTGTATGGCAATTTTTGCCAGTGGTTCTACAGCATGTGGGAGTGCTGCTGTAAGTAGTTTTTTTCAATCATTTGCCATGTGTCTTTTGATGCTGCTTTTACTTCATTTGTTGATTGGCATTCCTGAAAATTATGTTTCATTAGTGAAAAGAATTAAAAAGGGCAGTAGACACAATTAGGTAAATAGGAGGGATATGGAAGGAGCATTGCCTCCTTTGCATCATCTTAAATCATCTAAGATGGATGAACTCTCGCAAATGACGTAAAATATCTAAACTCTTCTGTTCACTATTCTACTATCAGGAATAAAATCTGAATTGATATTGGAGATTAATAAACAACTTTAAGAATTATTCTTTTGTTGGTTTCCAACTGGAATTTTTTCTTGATCGCAGTGAAGACTAAGTTTCATATTGAAAAAGCGCCAGGTTTAATTGCTGTAATTCACGTGGGCTACAAAAAAGGTGGATTGCTATTGGGGCTTAGTGGATTAACTCGCCCCATATCCGCATCTGTACATCCTCTTGTTTGCTGATGCACAGTGTGGTGACACATGTGATGCTTGTTAAAATCCCCCATCAAAGTGCACTGGTAGAGAGTCTCCAGTGAATGACTAAAATTAATTATATTCCTAAGGCTTTAGCAGAGATCCTAGCAAACACACTGCACAGTCAAATTGATGTTTCCCATCAGTTCATGCATTCAGAGATCAGCTAGAATAGGGATCTTCAAAAAAGTACGCTCATGATCAGTTGCGAAATGTACGACCGTACTGTGGGTTTTTAGAAAAAAAGGAAACATTAGAAATGTTTCCATCATTGTTTGATTTTGCTCCCGAAAGTGAAGGAAATTTGGAATAAAACCAATTTGCCGAGCTTCCTAGTATTAAAACAGATTTAATGGGCCATGAACCCATTCGTGTAAAAATAGATCATCTTTCGACTGCAGCTGAAAAACAGTTGACAGACAACAATTAAAATCAAATACAGGAATAAATTAGAGTTAGAACCAGGTCTTCAAATTGCATTAGCAGAGGGCATGAAACCAGCTTTTGCCGATATTATTTACAAATATAGTCACATTGCTTTCATTAAAGGTAATTCAAAATGTAAATTTGTGATTTAATATAATTGTATACATATTGTTTAAAATAAATAATAATTTGACTTTTGGGTACACAAACACAACAATGGGGTTTATGTACTTATTACATGCTCTGCCCTTAGGCACTACATGGAAAGGGAGGGATGTCCTGTGGAGGTCTTTGCTAGGGAAACTGTCTTATATCCACATTACACATGGGGAAAATCACGAAAACTCCATGCAGCCAGCCTGTACGCCGTGACTCAAACCCCGAACCAAACTGACCGGTGTTCAGTGGCTTTTACTACTCGGCTGCAAGAATGCAGTTGATTGTCTGTTTTTCTAGAACTGCAGAATAAAGATGAATAAGCACAGCACAGAACATGT